TGGCACAGAGACTTATTACTAATTATGAAAGCTCAGCCTTAGCTTAGGCTTGTCCCACTAGCTCTTAGAACTTAAATTAGCCCATTTTATTTTATTTTAATCTATGTCTGTCACATGACTCATTACCTCATCTCTTCGTACTGCTCATGCCGCTTCCTCCACATTCAGCTGGCGACTCCGCCACTGCCTTACCAGAGTTCTCTTTCTGCCTGAAGTCTATACCTCCGTCCAGCTTTTTATTACACTAATCCCAACATTACATTTTCGTGCAGTGTACAAATAGTCCACAACAAGACACAGTCTAAAGCCAACTGTCTTAGTTACTTTTTTATTGCTGTGATAAGACACCATGACCAAGGCAACTCAGAAGAAAAGTTTATTTGGGGCTCTGTAACATGAACTCTAAACGGTCTTATAATATAAAACCAGGAGCCTGATATTGGGGTGACAGCTGAAAGATCAAAGAAGCAGAGCAAGCCACAGCCACCACCTCTCACCTCACCAGCTCCTCAGCCTGAAAGAGCTCCAGCCGAAAGGGCTTCAGCTGAAAAAGCATCCTCAGCCTGAAAGGCTTCTAGTTCCTGTCTCCTCATGCCTTATAGACCTTTCTCCGCCCAGCCATTAAAGGCACTTGCTTCCCAAGTACTGGGATTAAAGGCGTGTGCCACCACTGCCTGGCTCTGTTTCTCTCCTAGACTGAGCCAATCTCATGTAGTCCAGGGTAGCTTTGAATTCACAGAGATCCAGACGGATCTCTGCCTCCCCAGTGCTAGGTAGGATTAAAGGTGTGTGCCACCACTGTCTGGCCTCTATCTTTAACCTAGTGGCTTATTCTGTTCTCTGATCTCCAGGCATATTTTATTCAGTTATACTATGTATCACCACAGGGCTCACAGCTTTAGAGGGTTGGGGTCCATGTCCTTCATGCATGGCAGGGAGCATGTCAGCAGGCAGGCAGGCAGGCACCAGGCAGGCAGGCAAGCAGGCAGGGGGCTGGAGCAGTAGCAGCTCACCCTCTTTTTTTTTTTTTTTTTTTTTTTTTAATTGAAAATAGTTTTTTTTTTTATACACTATATTCTGATTACCATTTTCCCTCCTCCAACTCCACCCACACCCACCCAAATGTACACCCTTTCTCTCAGAATACAAACAGGCATCTAAAAAACAATAATGTAAGATAAAATGAAAAGAAACCAGAATAGGTTACTCAGGGTTTCCTGCATGCTAAGCAAGCACTTTACCAACTGAGCCCCATCTCCAGCCTCAGACTACAGTGTGATCTTGGTTAATCAGTCTCCTTTAGGAGACTTTAGGCAGCGGTTAGTCGTGGTGTTTGACCTAAACTAGGCCAGTGAGTGTTTGTTGACAGGTGAAGAGTATGAAACTCAGCAGATGGGCGCATGCTGTGTGTCCTCTAGGTTCGGTACCACCTGATGCTGCACATCCAGATGCAGCTGTGTGAGCTGTCCCTGTGGGACTGGATAGCCGAGAGGAATGAGCGGAGCCGGGAGTGTGTGGATGAAGCTGCCTGTAAGTACCATCTACAGGTCTCTTTATTTCAGTACTTTTCAAAATCAGCTATGAATTTGGTAGTTATCTGTGATAAAGTGTTTGTTGGTATTGGTGGTGGTTGATGTTAACTGTCAACCCCACAGGATGTAGAATCACCTGGATTTGTTTTGACACACCTATGAGGGATAATTTAGGTTAGGTTAGCCTCTGGGGATGCCTGTAGGGGGTTATCTTGATTAGGTAGGCAGCTTTCCCTGAGTTGTGACCCTGGACTATATGACAGAGAGAAAATAAGCTGCGTGATAATATTCATTTATTGCTTTTCAACTTCCGACTGGAGGTGTGTGACCAATGGCTTCAAGCTCCTGCCATCACAGGTTACATTCCTGTGACGATGGACTGTGACCTTGAACTGGGAGCTGAAATAAGCCTTTTCTCTTTGAGTTGCTTTTGTTGGGGCATTTTATGATGGCAACGGGAAAAGAAACAAAGACAGTATTTAAATTGTAACGTAGATCAGTGATTTCGGATAGAAATTTTTTGGTGTATATATATGCTAAATGTACATATTTGTGTGAATGTGTGCACATTTGCATGTTGTGGAGACCAGAGGTTGATTTTAGGTGTCTCCCTCAGTCATTCCCTCCTTATTTTTGAGACTGTGTCTTCACTGAACCTTGAGCTTACAGATTTGGCTGGGTTGGCTGGCCAGTGAGCTCCAAAGCCGTGCCTGTCTCAGAGAAGAAACTAATGAGTCCTGAAACAGTAGTGTCGCTAGAGACGAGAGAAGACTGAAAAATTGTCTCTAGCCAGAGGAATTATGGGAATGACAGTTGGGATTGCAGACATAAACCAGCCATGCCTGCCCTGCCCTTGCTGTTGAGCTCTTACTGTAGCCATTGTGGTTGGTAGCTCATACCTTCAATCCCAGACGCAAGAGGTTGACATAAAAGGCTGTCTTGAGTTCCAGGCTACAATATGAGAATCTGTCTTCAACAACCACAAAAAGGGGTTGGTGAAAAGGCTCAGTGGTCAAGGTGCTTGTCCCCTAAGCCTGACAATCTGAGATGGATCCCTTGGATCCACATGGTAGGAGGAGAAAACTGACTCCACAAATTGACATTTACACATGCTTGTGGCACATAGATGCTTGTGGCACATGTATACAATGCACACACACACATGCACATAAATAAAATTTGAAGAATTAAAACCTACTTCCTCCTGTTTTCATGTTACTAAATGTGTTAGGGAAAGTCCATAATTCTTTAAAAAGTTGTTGTTTTAGTACAGGGCATCCAAACTTGTGCAGTATGACCTTGGTTTCTACAAATGTGTTGGGCTGCATTCATAACTGTCCTGGGATGCATGAATTGATGGGCCTTAGGCTGGATGTGTCTTAAAACCATTAAAAACCACTCCACTATCTAAGTGAACTGTTCATCCCTCCTGTGTTTTGACTGTATTCTTCATTATTCAGTCATTTTTAGCAAATCTGAGAAATGGAGAGAAGCTTATGCCTTGAACAAAATTTATCTTCCCCCACTCCCTTTTTGAGATAGGATCTCACTGTGTAGCTCAGGTTGGCCTAGAACTAGAGGTGGTCCTCTTGCTACAGCTTCCCAAGTGTTAGGATTATAAACATGAGCTGCCATGCCTAGGTAATTTATGTTTTATCTTATTCTGGTGTTTATAATAATGTCTTAATCCAGTGTGGGCTAGGACAGTAGATTAGCCTTCAACTCCAGCATGTTAAGACTCAAAGAGGACTGAAGCTGTAATTTAGTCACTTAATGCCTGGTTATTGTTTAGAAAGTCATTAGTACAGAGTTTCTGGCTAAGCTAAGTACCTTTTTGGAAGCAAAGTGTCAGTGTTGGGTTTCAGTCTGTGATATTTTTCTTCGCTAGCAAAGAATCCTTCCTCCTTAGTTCTGTTTTAGGCCATTCTGGAGTGTTTGACTGTTGAAGTTTACAAGATTAATTTGTTGAGAACATTTAACATTTAGATGTTAATATAATTTAATGAGTTCAAAGAAATAGGGATATGAAACCATTTGTTTTTAAAATTCCAGGTCCCTACGTTATGGCCAGTGTTGCAACAAAAATATTTCAAGAGTTGGTGGAAGGTGTCTTTTACATACATAACATGGGCATTGTCCACAGAGATCTGAAGGTAAGGCAGACTACTACACCTGTGAGCACAGTAGTGGTGTCTTCCAGGGATGACTTGATGTGGGTTCATGGAGTGCAATGAGATGACATACTCTCATTCTTCTGCTTAGGAGGTTGTCACTGCTGTCAAGGAAATTGTTATTCCAGAGGTCCAGAACTCTTGACTGGGAAGATGGCTCAGTCAATAAAGAGCTTGTTATATAAGCACGGGGACTTGAATTTCTATCTCTAGAATCTGCGTAAAAAGCCAGGTACAGCAGCATATGCCTGTAACCTCAGTGCTGGGGAAGCAGAGACAAGAGGATTCTGGGGTTTACTGGCCATCCAGTTAGGTGGATTAATTGAGAAAGATGCCTTCTGTCAACTTTTAGCCTCTGAATACATGAACACACTCATGTGTGTATATTCCCCCAACCATTCCCTCCCCCCCCCTACTTAAAAAGAAGTCCTAAATTGAATTTGAAAGCAGTAATTTGGGGTTATTTGAACATTGGTTGAAGTATGGGTACACTAAGGCATAAGTATACTGATTACTAGTATGGTGATGGTAAATATATTCAATGTTGGTAGATGTGGTTATATGTTACTGCAGCCTTAGAGATTAAAATATTTCCAGGAGGGCCGGGCGATGGTGGCGCACGCCTTTATTCCCAGCACTCGGGAGGCAGAGCCAGGCGGATGTCTGAGTTCGAGGCTAGCCTGGTCTACAAAGCAAGTTCCAGGAAAGGCACAAAGTTACACAGAGAAACCCTATCTCTAAAAACCAAAAAAAAAAAAAAAAAAAAAAGTTTCCAGGAAATGGTTTGGGTTTTTGTTGTTGTTGTTGTTTATCTTGAATGCTGGTGGTGGCAGTAGTGATGCACAGAGAAACCCTGTCTCGGAAAAACAACAACAACAAAAAATCCATCCATCGCATACCTTTTATCCCAGCCCAGGAGGCTGAGGCAAGTCTAGAGCTCTTCAGGGGTCTGTAGTGAGTCATGTCTCAAGGACCAAAAGTAAAATCAAAACCCCAAATCCCTCAAACCAAACCATAATGAAAATACAATTCTAGCAGACAGGAGGATCAATTAGCTTGAGGTTAGCCTGGACTACATAGTGAGACCTTGTCTCACCAAACCAAAATAAACCACCCCACAAAACAAACTGAAAACTCCATAGGGACTACTTTAGTTTTAATTCATAAAAGACTATCAAGGAAAGATAAAATATACTTTCTTTTTTGACTGACAAATCTTAAAGCAATTAGCCCACTTTTCAGGCCAAAATTTAAATCATGGGAAAGGGATCTAAATGAAACCTTAGAAGACCTTGAGTTAATGTGCAAGTCACTTTAATGTTTTGGGAAGGGATTAAGGGCCAATAGTGTGTGCATTGCAATGTAAAGTGAAGTTCAAGTGTTTTCTGGTCCATGTCTAGCCAGAAAACAGTTTGAGTTGCTGAGATTCTCTGGACTGAGGGTGTGGAGCTCTCATTTCAAGAGGTAGTCAAAGTCATAGAAGGTATATATGGAGTTCCATAGCTTCCCAGGGAGAAGTTTCTTCAGGTGGAATTTGTACTTCTCACCATAAACATTCCTGATGTTTCTCTTACAGATGGCCTCTAGGGATAAAGGTTTTTTTGCTAACTTTATTAGAGTTTCCCTTAGGAGGTGGAATTCTGGTAGCATGATTCCTGCAGGTAGAAGCCCTTGCTTATTGCTCAGTCTTAAAGGGTAAGTGCGATAAAGTAGCCTAGCCAGAAGCGTTATATCTCTGATATTGGAACTGCGCTGAAGGTACATATAAATTGGAGATTCCCCATTTTTTGTTAAAATGTTAACATTTGCTTCAAATTCCAGCAAGAGATTGATTATTACCTCTCTGCCTCCAAAACATGCCTTGTGCAGAGCTGTTTGGCCTTCATGGTCTTGGGCATTGACCTGGGCTCCATGACTCAGCAGCAGACGGATGCAGCCCACTCCTGCTGCCAGCAGTTGGCCAGCTTTGCTTGATGCGGTGCACACTGCCAGCTTCAGAGCCGTGTTTCCAGTCGAGGAGATGGCACAGTTCACGTTGGCCCCACAGGCAATGAGTGTCTCTATCATGTTTTTGTCCAGTATTTCTGCAGCCATGTGGAGCGGCGTCATGCTGGCTTCATTAGTAGCATTGACCTGGGCACCATTTTGGGCCAAGAGGGAGAGAACTGGATAGGAGCCATATGTTATGGCCAGGTGCAGGGGTGAATGCTTGTTGCTGTTGTCTACCCGGGCATTCACTTGAGCTCCATGTTCACACAAAATGCGCAGACACATGACAGCATTGTTCTGAATGTCTGTCAGGATCTTTTGGATCTGGGTACTGGGTTTGGTCCACGTGGTAGAAGTGATTGGCCAGTTTAGCAGCATCTGGTGAAGAGTGGTGAGGCCTTGAGCGTCCCTGGAAGGGATTTATCACAGGTTAAGCCAGGTTCACTCCAGAAAGGGACTCTCCATGAAGAATTAATGCTCAGGAAGGCAACACTGACTGCAAGTAACAGCTAGTAATTCGTTCTCCCTCTCTCTCTCTCTCTCTCTCTCTTTCTCTCTCTCCCTCCCTCCCTCCCTCCCTCCCTCCCTCCCTCCCTCCCTCTGTAGGAGTGTGAGAGTGGTGTAGATACAAGTTGATTGTGTGTGTGTGTACACGCGCGCACGCTCAGGTACATATGAACTTGTGTACATGTGGAGGCCAGAGGTCAATGATCAGTGTATTTCTTGATTGTTGTCAACCTTAGTTTTTGAGAGAAGTTCTCTTGACTGCATCTGGAACTCATTGATTTGGCTAGACTGGCTAGCAAGTGAGCTCTGGCGACCGTGTGTTCCTTCCCTGACTCCTCAGCACTGGGGTTATAGACCATGTGCTCCCCCCCCCCCGCAGACTAGATGGAGAGGGCAGATTTTCTGAACAGGGTAAGGATATTATTTTTTATATTATTATTATATATATTATTATTATATTATTATATTATTTTTATATTACATATATAATTCTTTGATTTATCCAAATGTATTCATTGGGCCATAGTGTTCAAAAATCAGAGATAAGAGTGTGAGCACGATAAACTTCTCTTTGATGAAGCTAGTGGTCCTCTGGAGGGTCATACACAAGAAAGCTTATGATCTGTTTTGTTTGTTTTTCCCTTTCTTATTTCTCATATTGTCAAAATTCCTGAGTGCTCTAGTCCAGACTTAATGTGTTTTCTATAGTTGAGGCACTACTTCATATGTGTTCATTTACCTGGCTGGTTAGTGTTCTTGTATTAGACCCAGTTTTTCAGTCCCTCACCTTGTCAGTAAAGTATGTTTCATCCACACAGTCTGTACCTGGAATGGGACGAGTATCTCTCTCTCTCTCTCTCTCTCACACACACACACACACACACACACACACACACACACACACACACACCATGCTTGACGGCACGTTGAGTTAACTTACCTTACTTCTGTGTCAGCCCCGTGTTGTAACAAGCAAAGCAAACTTTGTGGCTTGCGGTATTCGGCGGCCAGATGGATGGGGAAGATAGCCCGAGTCTGCTGCTGGGAAACCGCAGTGCATTACAGACGTGGCTTACACAGTGCATTACAGACATGGCTCGCTGTTCCAAGGCCTAAGTACTTTAGCATTGGTTTGGCATTTCATCAGTTCCTGCATTGAGATTTTTTTTTCTTTTTTTTTTTTTTTTGAGATAGTCTCTTCATGTAGACCAACCTAGCCTGGATCTCACAGAGAAATCCACCTGCCTCTGCCTCCCAAGTGCCAAGATTAAAGCCACAAGCCACCATTCCTAGCTAAAGATTTTCCTTTTCTGTTGCATTTTTTTCTTTTCTTTTTTTTACTTTTTAAAAAATTTATTTGTATTTTATGTACATTGGTGTTTTGCCTGCATGTATGTCTGTATAAGAGTGTCAAATCCCCTGGAACAGGAGTTACAGACAGTTATGAGCTGTCATGTGGGTGCTGGGAATTGAACCCAGGTCTTCTGGAAGAGCAGACAGTGCTCGTAACTGCTGAGCAATCTTTCCAGTCCCTCTTCCCCCACACCCCCTCCCATTGCCTGTTTTAAATGGCCCATAGCTGGTGAATTTTAAAAAATAGAATTGGTGTGTTAGAGCTGGGCATGTTGGTGCACACCTGTAAATAACCCTGTAGCACCTGGAAGGTGGAAAAGGATCAGGAGTGCAAGGCCGTCTTTGGCTACATGAAACTCTGTATCCTTTCCCCAAAGGAAATATAAGTATGAATTCTTAAAGCTTTGAAAATTAATTGCTATAAAGAACTGTTGGTGTAAAGTCAGTAGCAGATTGCTTTGAAATAATTTAGCCCTTAAATTAACCCACAAGTTTATTAACAAGAACATGTTATATTTTATAGGTCTTGCCAAAGCCATTATCAGCTGTGAAACTTGCATTTCCAAGGTTTTCAGATAATGCAGCGTATGTTCTTACTGTGATTAACCAAGCTGTTTATACTACTTCTTAAAATACATATGGAAGGTTTACACTGTGACTGCAAGATAAGGAGGAGACGAAGGAAGGAGGGGTGGCTTTCTTTTGGGGGAAAGAAAAAGAGAAAGCTAATTAGAAAAGCAGTATTCAGGCAGCCTTGGTGGCTCATCCCTGTAATCCCAGCGCTTTTGGGAGCCGGAGACTGAAGGATTGTTAATACGCTTTAGGTCAGCTTGGGTAAGTTGGTGAGTTCTAGGCCAGCCTGTACTATAGAGTAAGATCCTGCCTCAAACAAAACAAAACACAACAATTGTCATATAAAAACCTAGGAAAGTGTATATCAGAGTGAAAAATACTTCACCTGCATGATGTAATCAGGGTGGGTGTATTCTGAGAGGATGATGTCACTCTCCTTCCAGTCACACAAGGTGTGTGGCTCCCATCCATTTGTGTGTGGTGAGTGAAAGTGGGGTTGCAGACTGGGGTACACTGGACCTGGGTGCTGGACTGCTGAGCCCTGTGTGTTGTGAAGCCCTGAGGGGTTCAGGGAGTCCCCAGGGCATTGGGGTAGTTCCTCCCAAAGCCTCTGGCTGGAATGTGTGTGTGTGTGTGTGTGTGTGTGTGTGTGTGTGTGTGTGTGTGTGTGTGTGGTGTTGTTGTTGTTGTTGGCTGGAATTTGTGTGTGTGTGTGTGTGTGTGTGTGTGGTGTTGTTGTTGTTGTTGTTGGCTGGAATTTGTGTGTGTGTGTGTGTGTGTGTGTGTGTGTGTGTGTGTGTGTGTTGTTGTTGTTGTTATTGTTTGGTTGTTTGTTTTGTTTTGTTTTGTTCTTGAGACAAGATCTCACCCTATAGCTCAAGCAAACCTAGAATCCCAGGCTAGCCTTGAACTTGAGGCAGTCAGTACTCTTGCCTCAGCCTATCAAGTGCTGGGATTAGAAGGGTATACCACCACTTCCAGTTCCATTGTTTCTTTAAAGCGACTGAGAGAATAGGGAGTACCTGGCTCAGAATTAGTCTGCTGGTGGGGTTGGCCAGGATGGTCAAGGGCTGGTTGACAGGGTGGGTTCTGAGGAGTGTCTTGATTATGTTACAGTCTTCCTTGAGTATGGCCTCATAAAGTCTAGAGTGCAGTGTAGCGACTGAACTGTCCTCCAGCAGCATGGCACTGTCCTCCACGAGGTCTCTACTTCCCCTCTTGGTTATGTTCCCCATGAGAAAGTCTCTAGAGCAGGGGCTGATGAGGTGAGTGGATGTTGCTATGGGATTGGTCAGTTTCCATCTCTTATGATGTTGACCCCTCATCTCAGTTCTAGAACTCTTCTAGAATTGTATTTGTCAACAAAATCCATTTCTATACTAGAGCCAGCCCTCGTGAGACTTTGTTCCCTCCTGCCCAGTGCAAGCAGTTTCTCAGCTTTTCTCCTCAGTTATTAACAAACAAGCAAACATCTTATAGCTAAAATTATTTCCCCTGTCCCTTACACATCAACTGTAATTAAATCTAGGAAGGCCAGTGAGATGGCTGGAGTAAGATGCCTAACACCAAGCATGACAACCTGACACTCTGTCCTGGGGTCCACATGGGGAGACTCCTGCAAGTTGTCCTTTGACCCCATCCTCACCCCATGGTGTGTGCACGCATACACACACAGTTTTTTAAGGGACTCTTAGCAGGACCAAAACAGAGTGGGTCATATATTAACATATATATTAACATAAAAGTGAATTACATATTGCTACTTTAAATGTTTTAATTTTAGCAAAATTATATACATCTCTTTTAGTAAAATTATATACCTCTCTTCTCCCAGTTAGATTGTAATGTTGCTGCTGCTGTTATTTGAAACATGTAGCTCTGGCTTGCTTCAAACTCACTATGTAGCTGAGGATGACCTTGACGTTCGGATCTTGCCTCCACCTCTCTAGTGCTGGATTGCAGACACGTGCTACTGTATGCATTGCTGGAGTTAGAACACAGTGCTTTGTTCATGCTAGGCAAGCACTCTGCCAGCTGAACTACATCCCCTACCCCTACTAAGTTTCAGTTTCTTTAAATTAAAACTTGTTCCTGAGTGGCCAGCTTTTCAGTTTGGTGTGTGAGTGTATATGTGGTGTGCTCAGTGTGTGTGTGTGTGTCTGTCTGTCTGTCTCTGTGTATTTGTGTGTGTGTGTGTGTGTGTGTGTGTGTGTGTGTGTGTGTGTGTGTGTGTGTGTGTAAGCCAGACGACGATTTGGGGTGTCCTGCTCCATCAATATCTACCTTATTCTCTTGATACAGTGTCTCTCACTGAACCTGGAGCTAGGAGACTGATAGCCAACACGCCCCAGTGATCCTCTTGTATCTGTTTCATGTAATGCTGGGGTTAGAAGTACTCCTGTAGCCACACCCAGCTTTTACTTGAGTATTGGGGACTTGAACTCAGCTCCTCTTGCTTGCACATCCAACACTACTCACTGAGCCACCTCCTTAGCCCAGCAACTTTTGGTTTCTTTGAGATAGGGTTTTGTTGTATAGTCCTTGATGACCTCGGACTCACGATATAAATCTGACTGGTGTCATAATTCACAGTGATCCTCCTGCCTCTGCCTAAGTTCCTATTTTACTGATGTGAGCCTCCATGCCTGGCAACTCCTAACACAAGTTTCCACATTTATTTTAAGAAATCTGAGTTGTCTTTTTCTGTTTATTTTTAGCCTAGAAATATTTTTCTTCATGGCCCTGATCAGCAAGTAAAAATAGGAGACTTTGGTCTGGCCTGTGCAGACATCATACAGAAGAGCTCAGACTGGACCAGCAGAAATGGAAAGGGTAAGGACTTGTTTGGTCACTTGCTGTGTTTCTTTCTGCATTGAAAAATAGAGAGACATGGTTGAAGATGTCCTTATATACAGAGGATCAGAACTTTCATAGCAAAGCTCAGATGAGACCAAAAAGGCAACCGGCCTTCCAGAGCCGCAGTGCTCGGCTCCTATCACAGTAAGTAGCTCAGTGGTCTTTTCCATTGCAGGAATGCCGACACATACGTCCAGAGTGGGGACCTGTCTGTATGCGTCACCCGAACAGTTGGAAGGATCCGAGTATGATGCCAAGGTACTGTTTGTTTTCAACTTTTCCTCAATTTGTCAAGGAGGTTAGAACAGGTAGAATAGTGAGTGCAGTTCTGTGGCAGAGCTGAGTCCTGCAGGTGACCTGTCACCTCAGACTACCCTAGGAAGCCTACACACACACACACACACACACACACACACACACACACACACACACACACACACAAAAAAAAAAAAAAAGATTCCCTTTTCACACAGCTGCGTATGTGTTGCCTTTAGGCTACTTGACTATTTCAAAATCCATGGATGTCACTAAACATTGAAGTCAGCCTTCCCTTTAAAATGTCACCATTCACCTCAGGAGGCTAGACTTGATGGAGGTCTCTTCAACCTTTCATTCTTCTGACTTCAAGCCTAAGGAAACAAATGGTACTGGAAGTGTACCACCTGACTGCCTTGAAGAATGAAGACACCGGAAAGTTTTAACCCTTTTTGATGCTTGGAAAATGTTAAATGCCTTTTCAGTTCTGTTTTTAATTTTTAAAACATTCTACATTTTCCTCTAGTACTTTACTGGCTTTATTTTTTGTGGTGCTGAGGACTGACACCAGGGCCTTGAGTGTCCTAGTCAAGTGCTCTACCACTGAGCCGCATTCCAAGTCCCTTTGTATTTTATTTATTGGTTTTTTTGAGACAGGGTTTCTCTGTGTAGCCTTAGCTATCATAGAACTAGCTCTGTAGACCAGGCTGGCCTCGAACTCACGGAGATCTGCCTGCCTCTGCCTCCCGAGTGCTGGGATCAAAGGTGTGTGCCATCTCCTCCCGGCTTCTTTTTACTTTTTTAAGAAAGGGTCTATATGGTCCAGGCTGGCTTCCAACTCATGATCTTCCCACCCCAGCCTCCCAAGTACTGGGATGATAGGTATGGGCTGTTATATCTGGTTCTTAAAATAAACCTCTTTTCAATATAACAGCCTAGTCAGTGATTTTTTTGATGAATCATTTGTTTTTCAGTGACTGGAAAAGGAGTTGCCAGAAAAATTCATTGCTGTCCTTAAGAGCCTATCACCCTACTAAGCTCTTTTTAGGGAAACCAGAACAGATTTTATGCAGTTTAGAAATATTGACAAGAATATGTAGGCTGGAGAACTGACTCGGTGGTTAAGAGTTTTTGCTGCTCTTTCAGAAGACCAGAGTTTGGTTCCCAGCACCCACATCAGGCTGCTCACAGCCATGTGGAATTCCACTTTCAAGGAATCTTATGCTCTCTTTTGGCTTTTGTGGGCACCCTCATACATGTAGCACACACTCACATAAATTAAAAAAAAAATGATCTTGCACTCGGGAGGCAGAGCCAGGCGGATCTCTGTGAGTTCGAGGCCAGCCTGGGCTACCAAGTGAGTTCCAGGAAAGGCGCAAAACTACACAGAGAAACCCTGTCTCGAAAAACAAAAAAAACAAAAAAAAAAAAAAAAAAAAGATCTTGAAAAAGAGAAGTGCTCAATTATGAGTAGAGGCAGAGACTAGCCTTAGTAGGACCTGGTGATAATACCAGGAGTCGTGAGTTTAGTCATTTTGCCTGGTTACTCTGTCAGGCCTGGATTATGGTGGGTTGGTGGGAAGATAACCCTGTTGTAGGGTACTGTTGTGTCTATTGGGAGCTATCCCTGCCCTTTATCCAACCATTGTCCTCCAGGGCCATATATACCATCTCTGGGTTTAAAAGGGATGGAGTTAGGAAAGTCCCAGACATGGCTTACCTGAGGCATGTATCTGCTGTTGAAGCATGAGACATCCTGCTGTGTTGCCTTCTTTGTTGATGCTGTAAAGCTTCATTCTTGGACATCCTTACTTGGGAGGCTGCACTGTTAGAAGTGCTCTCCTAACTTTAACAAACCTTTGCATGCTCATTTTTCTTCCTCTGCAGTCAGATATGTATAGCCTGGGTGTGATCCTGCTCGAGCTCTTTCAGCCATTCGGGACAGAAATGGAGCGAGCAACAGTCTTAACAGGCATAAGGACTGGTCGGATACCCGAATCCCTTAGTAAAAGGTGTCCGGTGCAAGCCAAGTATATCCAGCTCCTAACTGGGAGGAATGCATCACAGAGACCGTCTGCTCTTCAGCTGCTGCAGAGTGAACTTTTCCAGACAACTGGAAATGTATGTAACATTTTCTTTTTTTAATAGTTACTGAACATTCACTTTGGATTGGGTATGATCCCAAGAGCTTGCTTATTTATTTATCGACAGGGTCTCACACTATAGCCCAGGCTGACCTTGAACTCACAGCATTCCTGTCACAGCCTCTTGAGTTCGAGGATTGCAGATATGAGCTATCAAATCAAAGAGCTTTAGATAAGCTTGTCTTTCAGTAGGCTCACAACTCTGAAACTGAGACTGCTAATCTCCCTTTCAGAGATGAGGAAGTTAAGTAATCCATCACACAAACAATGACAGATACTGTTACTCTGTGTGATATACGCCTTACTTAGAAACCTAGCTGTCCATCTTGAATCTCTGTTTACCCTTAGCCCTCAGGCTGTTCTGTATGTTAGAAATTCCTTGATGGAAGCCTCCCCTGGACTGGTGAGATGGCTCAGCGGGTAAAGTACTTGGCAGGCAAGTCTGACACCCAAGTTGGCTTTCCTAGAACCCATGGAAGGCTAGAGAGAAACTCGCCTCTCCCCCATAGATATGGTCCATGAGATGTGCACCTCCACCCAACCATAAACACATACCTATTAATAAATAAAAATAAAACTCTGGCCGCGCGGTGGTGGCACACGCCTTTAATCCCAGCACTCGGGAGGCAGAGGCAGGCGGATCTCTGTGAGTTCGAGGCCAGCCTGGGCTACAGAGTGAGTTCCAGGAAAGGCACAAAGCTACACAGAGAAACCCTGTCTCGAAAAACCAAATAAATAAATAAATAAAACTCTGTCCTGTACTAGGGGCAGATTATTTCATACCACAACAGTACAGATCTTCAAACCAACCTTTGTTTCATGGTACCCAGTGAAATCTTAACATTTCTTTTCATGCTGAGCAAAATATGAAACTCAAAATAGAATTTGTTCCAGTTGTGAATTAATTCCGTTTCAGAAATATTTAAGTTTGGGGGTTTATGGAAACAAAATAGTTAAGCCTATCCTCATAGTTCCCTTACAGTTTCAGGTACTGAATTTATACAAATAAGGCATATCCATAGTCCAGGTTAGCGATGGCACACAGCCAAGTAGCTGTTCTAAATGTAGTCTAGGTTATAGTATCTTTCTGTCCTCACCTTGCTATGTAAGGAGAAAGGTTTTATTTTTTCCTTTCTTACCTAATGGACTCCTTTTTTTTTTTTTTTTTTTTTTTTTTTTCCGGAGCTGAGGACCGAACCCAGGGCCTTGCACTTGGTAGGCAAGCACTCTACCCCTGAGCTAAATCTCCAACCCACCTAATGTACTCCATAGTAAAAAGGGCAGTGATTCTAAGCAGGAATGGACAGTAGTGGTAGGGATGGCCCCTGCATATCTTTCAGCATGCCACTGTCTGAAGCTGGCTTTCTCCTATCATATGGCTATGGTGCCAAGATAGTGCTTTCTGTACATGTGGAAACAGTAGATGATTCATTTTTTTTTTTTTGGTCTCTAACACCTAAAGTTTCATTAAAATTTGATTCAAGATATATTTTTTAGCGAGCCTGGACAGCCTTGACATTGCAACACAAGTCCTTTTTAAGTTTATTTATTTTTTTCCTTTTTTGGTTTTTTTCGAGACAGGGTTTCTCTATAGTTTTGGTGCCTGTCCTGGATCTCGCTCTGTAGACCAGGCTGACCTCGAACTCACAGAGATCCGCCTGCCTCTGCCTCCTGAGTGCTGGGATTAAAGGCATGTGTCACCACCGCCAGGCACAACAGAAGTTCTTGTACAAAGTTTACACTTGAGAACCATGGAACCAAGTTACAAATGAGTGTATGTGTGTACACGTTTGTATATGCATGTTGGTATGTGTGTGTGTATATATATATATATATATATATACACACACACATACACACACACGTTTTTAACTAGGTTACAGTTCTGTGTTGAGCCACATTCTAAGCTACCCACAGCCTCATGTAGTCAGTCACATGTGGCCTGTGGACCCTAGGTTGGTCCTGGATCCTAGTGCTACTGAAAGTATGGTCTCTAAACCAGCAGCCAGCCCACCAACAGTCAATTTGCATTTGAGCAGGATTTCCAGGTTCTGTTCAGTATTTAAAGAGCAGTACCCAAGTGTCAGACTTTCCAGGTCTGGTCTCCAGGTCTCCAGAAGAATGTACTGTGACTGTGAGAATATGATAGCATTCTCTGGCCTCTAATCCTCTCCACTCCCCTAACCTACTAACAAACTCTGGGAAGACAAGGAGTGGAGGTCTGTACTTTATGGATCCGGAAGTGATTCTGATTGGCACTAGCTTGTGAACCACTTACAGTGACTTTTTGAAAGCTAGCTAGGAGGCTAGGAAGGTGGTTTATTAAGAAAGGTGCTTGCCTCAGAAACATCAAGGTTGGCAAAATAGGTCAGTGGGTATGGGCACATACTGCCAAGTCTGGTAATCATTTCAGTCCTTGGAACACACATAGTGGAACTTCTGACCTCCACAAGTGC